CCATGGGGCTCCACAATAACGGCGAAGAGAACCACCGATGGACGGCGGCTTCAAACATCCTGTCCGCCGGAAATCGGAAATAGAAAACGGCGACGCCGTGATGGTGGTGGACTCACCTGCTCAAACGAAAGTTTCAGTCGCCTCAAGTTCATGATGATTCCGACGGAAACGGTCGATCAACGGCGGATCTGTTAGCCATAGTCGGCGGTGGGTGAACTGTGTGTGAGTATGAGTGTGTGGACCGTGTGTGTGTGCGTGAAGAAAGTGTGTGGACTGTGAGAGAGAGAGAGAGAGAGAGGATATGTATGAGATGTGTGAGACGGGTGGGTGAGATTTAGGGTAGGGGAAGAGTTAGTGGAGGGGCCCACTTTTGCAAAATACATATGTGCCCTTACCTTTTTAGCTTGTCCATAAATCTCATCGATATTTACTAAAATGCCACAGTCAATTAACTAATATTTGGACTTTATCCTGGCCGTTGCAGCGGCAGATCAAATGGTCCCAATTAATTCTTATTTCTTTCGTTATGTTCTTTTCTCATTTGAGCGCACTTCTATATATATATATATATATATATATATATATATATATATATATATATAGGGGATGGATCCAATGAGACCACTTCTTAAAATGAGTACGTGAGACTCAATCTTAGCCACTCATTTTGTCTAGATCAAAATCAATTAAAATATACATTAATTAAATAATAAAATAATTATTAGTTGACTCCGGCATTGACCGTTGACTCTGGCGTTGACCGTTGACTTCCGGCATTGACTTCCGGTGTTGACCGTTGACTTCCGGCGTTGACCCGTTGTATTGAAATAAATAACCTAGCGACAAAAGATACTCAACCTTGAGTGGTGTAGTGGTTGCATTGCTTGTCTTACCTCCATGAGGTACCAGGTTCAAATCCTATGGGCTACAATTTTTTTATGAAAAAAGAATACAACTAACTTAGCAGTATCAGACAACTAACCTACCAACAAAACACAACTAACTTTGCAGCATCAGACAACTAACCTGTCAACGAAAGACAACTAAACTAGTAGCGAGAAAGAAATAATTTAGCAACAAAAGACTAACCTTAGCAGCATCAGACAACTAACCTAGCAACAAAACATAACTAACCTAGCAACAAGAAAGAAAAGAAATAACGTAGCAACAAAAGACAACTAAACTAGCGAGAAAGAAATAATCTAGCAACAAAACATAACTAACCTAGCAGCAAGAAAGAAAAGAAATAACCTAGCAACAAAAGACAACTAAACTAGCAGCGAGAAAGAAATAATCTAGCAACAAAAGACAACTAACCTAGCAACAAAAGACTAACCTTAGCAGCATCAGACAACTAACTTAGCAACAAAACATAACTAACCTAGCAGCAAGAAAGATCACGCACATTTTCCGTGCGGGGAACAGACCTGCTGACTACCTGGCCAGCCTTGGCGCCACCATACCAGACACACATACATTTCAGACCGACGCTGCTCCACTCCGCCTTCGCACTCTTGTACGGATGGATCAGCTTGGATATCCAGCGTTCCGCTTTCACTAGTTTAGGATCTCTATTGTCATTAGTATAGACATTTTTTCGGGCATCTGTTAGCCCAAAGATCGACTTTGTTTTGTAGTTTCTGTTCCTTTTTCATTTTTTTGGCTTTTCTTTTTTGTTTTTCTTTTGGTTTTGTCTTTGATTGTGAGACTCTATAGACTTTTGTATCTTGTTCGTTGATATTTTGGGCTCCCGATTTTAGGGCCCTGATCTTTTGGTTTTGTCTTTGATTGTGAGACTCTATAGACTTTTGTATCTTGTTCATCATACAGCGTTGCGTTCACACTTGAATTGATTAATTATGAATTGATTAATTACGGTACCGCCCTTAGTGTGAACGCACCGCTGTATGAACAATTCAAGCAGGACGGGGTACTGAACATACAGCGGCGCGCTCACACTAGGGGCGATACCGTAATTAATCAATTCAAGTGTGAACGCACCGCTGTATAGTGAATATGAGTTAGTTGATAGTGAAACTAAAACTCATGTGGATGAGTAACGAATAAAGATAATCATAAACCGATATCTGATCGGTAACCAGAAATCTGTTCTGGTACTGAAACTTACACTTTTCTCTTCTCTTCCGATATCTGATCGGATACGTGTTCACACTCTGATGGATATTTCTCAAGGCAACTCAAGCGGCCTCCATCAGAACTTAGGATATACTTTGAGACAACTGAATGCCTCCTCATCCCAAGCGTAAAACTTAAACATTAGGATATACTCTGAGACAACTGATGGTCTCCTCATCCCATATGACATCAATATCGTACTCAATGTGATACCCATTCAGGGTCCCCACCTTTTTGTCTTTGAAATCATTTGAAAAACGATAAGTGTTGTACCGTTACTGTATCTGCAAGTTACATCAAATATAAACAAATATACTAAGTACTATGCTCGTATACTCAATAAGATTTTTAGGATTATTAACTTATCCAAATCTTATAGAAATTCATTAAACTTGCTTTTTCTCAAGTTTATACTTAACTTCTCTTTTTACTTTTACTTAAGATCAATTACTTAACCTTATATAAATCATGTCTTTATAAACATCAATATGGTATTATACTTAGCATGTCATAACTCAAATGTGAAAATAACACATTATACTTGATTGAGTATTTAAACTTAAAACATGCTTACTTTTACCAACATCATCAACATGATTTATAACTTATCTTAATTTAACTTGATCAAATACTTAATTCATCATACATCATATCTCCCAATTTTTAAATATTGGCTTATACTAAATTTTCACTTAATTAACTTGAAAGTGAAAATAATCTCAAGCCATAATCATCTTTTACTCATAACATTTAATCATGATGTTAATATGTCATACTTAATACAATCTTTATAAAATTGTATACTCAACATATTATACCAAAACTTCATCAAATTACTCATCACTTATATGAGAATTATTCATGATCATCTCATTTTAACAACTTAAACATTTCATGAATATTCTTGCATATATACTTATCTTTACATATATGCCTTCTTATATTCATAACTCATTCATTTCTCATCTTCAAATCATGAAATTTAACAGTCATAATCTCAACTCATAATTAGACATGTCATAAAAATTTCATAATTTTAGCATGCATGTACATCAAGTTATTGGAATTTAAAGTCAATAGTGAACATAAACTTCATCTTGCACGTTCATCTTCAAAAATTCATAACTCAAGCTATACGTTGCCAAATCACTTAATTCTTGTTCTCATGTACTCCTCTTTTACATAAGAATCATTAATTTAAATCATACTCTTCCAGCTTATTCATATCTTTATCAACATCTCATCAAATCAAGCACATATATCATATAATTGATCTCGAACAACTTTAACTCTTTATATTCATAGAATCAATTATAAACTCAACTTCTACATCATGATATGCATACTTATACTCCTGTCTTCAATCTTGAACTTATATTTGATCCTGTGTTTGAGTTGGGAATGGTTTTTGCAACTAAACAAGAGTTTAGAAAGGCCATTCAATCACTTTCAATTAAAACAAAAAGGACCCTAAAGACAATTAAAAATGATAAGATTAGGGTCTATGTTAGATGTGATGATGGAGGCTGTAAGTGGAGATGTAATCTTTTACAAATGAAGGGACAATCTAGTTACCAAATTAGAGAGTATAATCCCAATCATACATGTCATGGGAGCTTCAATGTGAAGAACATTAAGTCTAAGTGGCTGAGTGAGAGGTACATTAGCAATTTTCAAACTGACCCAAAGAGAAGTCTGAAGGGCTGGAGGCTTGATGTAATTCATGAACTGAATGTGAATGTCTCCAAAGATCAGGCTTATAGAGCCAAGAGAAGGGCCATGAATGTTCTTCAGGGACATCCTGATGTTCAATACTCACAGCTATGGGATTATGCAGAGGAGCTAAAATCTTCCAATCCTGGTTCAACAGTGTTATTAGCAACTGAAAAAGTGAGTGGTGATGAGAGATTTAGTAAGTTTTATGTTTGTTTTAGTGCTTTGAAAGAGGGTTATAAAGCTGGTTGTAGACCACTGATAGGTGTAGATAGGTGTCATTTGAAGGGGCCACATGGTGGGATTCTGTTAACTGCAGTTGCAGTAGACCGTAACAACAATTTATTCCCTATTGCATTTGCTGTGGTTGGAGTGGAATGCAGAGAGAGTTGGGAGTGGTTTTTAACCATTTTGAAGAAGGATTTGGATATCTCTAAGCCAGAAATGCAGACATTCATATCTGATAAACAAAAAAGGCTTATACAGGCCTTTGACATTGTCTTTCCTGGGGCAGCACATAGATTCTGTGTTAGGCATTTGCACAATAATTTCCTTAATGCTGGGTTCAGAGGATTGGCTTATAAGACTGCTGAGTGGAAGGCAGCCAGGCCACAACTGTGGGAGATTTTACTGCAAGAATGTTAGAAATTAAAGGCATGAGTGTTGAGGCATTCAATTGGTTTATGAATAAACCACCACAACAATGGTGTAGGGCATTCTTTTCTGATTTGCCAAAGTGTGATTTGTTGCTTAACAATATATGTGAGACCTTCAACAGCAACATCATTGAGGCCAGGGAGAAGCCAATAATCACCATGTGTGAGTGGATCAGGGAATACTTGTGCACCAAACTTCAAAAGAAAAGGGATAAGGCTGACTTAAGATGGAGTGGAAGAATTTGTCCTACTATCAACTTGATCCTACAGAAGCATCTATCCCATGTCTCAGACTGTATGCCTATTAAGTGTGATGACACTCATTTTGAAATCAAGTGCTATGATGGGTCTCAGTTCAATGTTGACTTGGAGAAAAGAAGCTGCACTTGCAGGGTTTGGGACTTATCAGGAATCCCATGTAAGCATGCTGGTAGTGCTATTTTAGCACAAAAATGGGATCCAGTTGACTTTGTCTCTGATTGGTACTCTGCACAATTGTACAAGAAGGTGTATGGTGGTGCAATTTTTGGAACAAATAGTGCATCTCAGTGGACTCAGACTCTTTTCATTCCACCTTTTCCTCCTAACTTTGGGAGGGGTGCTGGGAGGCCATCAAAAGCCAGAAAGAGGGGTCCTGAAGAGCCCAAGAAGAAGAAGTCAAAGAATTCAGTTAAGATGTTCAAGCAAGGCTGGAAAGTTACTTGCAAGAAATGCGGGCTGACTGGTCATAATACGAGGTCATGTGATAGAAGAAAAAAGCAAGGTGGCCAAGTTGACAGCATTGTAAGTCAATTTACATATTAGTGTGATTTATTGTTTTTTTAGCTTTTGTTACTATAGATCAATTTTATAACTCTGTTCATTTGTTTTTTTATTTTTATTCTATGTGCAGCTTCAAAGAAAAAGAGCAAGATCTTCTAATAGACAGAATAATGCAAACACTAGCCAATCTAGTACTAGTGTAAGTAAATAATCATAGTAGTTAGTTTTATTCAATGTTTTTTTTTTTTTTGCATATTGTTTATATAATCCTTTTATGTCTTGGCTATAAGGTTGACAGACCAACTATGTTGCCACCAAACACAGAGGAAGGGTCTACATACTCCAATGAAGAATTGCAGTTCAGAGGACCAAATTGTCCTGAGTACCAAATTCCCATAGTACCATCTAAAGCAGGACCAAGCCCCTTTGAACAACTTCAACATGCATTGGGTTATAAGCATTCTGGTTGCAAAAGAAACTAGTTAGGGAAATTGATGGTACTTCTTGTGATTAACAGACATTGAACAACTGCTTTTGTTTTTGGGAAGACATGTATAAATGGTTGTTTTTGATTGTGGGAAAAACTGAACAACTGCTTTTGGGTTTTGCTTTTGTAAGGGGTCCAAGTTATTTTTGTACTTATCAAACAATGTGGTTGCAATGAATGAAGCTTATTGTTCTTCCAGTTTACTTAAACTTTTGCTTTTCATATCAGAACATTCAAACTTCAACCACAACTACATGGAAGCATTACAAAGGATAAGTACTAATAAACAGAAGCATAAAGGACAAAGTTACAAAAAAGCCATAACATTCAAACTTGATAAACAGAAGCATTACAAACATAACAACATGGAATCAGTTCAATACATCAACCTTCATACATCCTAACCAGCCATAAGGATGAAGTTACAAAAACACAAACACAAATGCAGGGAAAATACATGTCACAACTTCACCAATACATCCATTCAACTAGTTTATGCAATCATGTTAGAGGAACCCTGACCACCAGAATTTTTATTCAGATACTGATAGAAAATGATAGCAGATGCAACAAAGAACAGCCACATTGTACGCTTTGACTCGGTCCTCATGGATATTTTCAGGCTTTTCATCTCAGCTGCTAAGTTCTTATTTTCTTCCTTCAGTTTATCATTTTCTTCTTGTATTTGTTGAAGTTTCTGGCGCAGCTCGTTCGATTTGCGCAATAGTCCAGGGATCACTTGCTTCGACCGATTGCATATCGGCCCATCAACCCAAGCAAAAAAATTGCACCCACCTCCATCCTGATTGAAATAAAAGAAAATAAAAAAAAATTGCAAATTTCTGAAAAATTAGGGTTCTTCATTTCAGAAATTAAATTGGAAGTACCTTATATTTTTTGCAAGAGTAGAACCGTCTTCCTGGGTTTTCGGATGTCCAAGATGTACGAACAACAACAACACTTGGTTTGACGCAACCGCACAAAGGCCCTGTCGCCATGTAAGAAGTCTCTGATATTTTGTCTTCCATGATTGAAAAATTAGGGTTGCAGGTCGGTCTCAAGAAATTGGGGCTAATATAATTGTTATGGGCGCGCAATTTCCCGTCCATTTCCCTCCAATTTGGTCTGACGTGGCGCCTTAAATTGCCATCTCATTTTTTTGTTTTTATTTTTGTTTTTTATCCACGTCGCGCAGGGGCTTGGGCCACATCGGCATTAGACGGGTGAAAATGAGTCACGTGGCAGGCACGTGCAATTTTCGGCAAAAAAACCCCAAAATTGACGCCAGCAGGACTAAAATTGCCCCAAAATTTTTAATTGTAGTACTAAATGTGCCACATACCTATACTGCAGGACTAAAATTGCTCGTCTATCAAAAACTCAGGACCAAAAATGCATTTTAGCCCTAATATTATATATACACACACTTGTGATACTATAGGAAATTCAATTATATATATATATAGGGTCGCGCTCACATGAGAATGGTGCTTAATGCGAGAAATAAGAATGGATTATAACCATTAGATCGAATGATCTAATGGCGGGAAAAAAGCCAATATTGTATCATCATTAAGGGTATTATGGACAGTATTCACACACCACTATCCAGTGGGCCCCACATCCGATTTAAATCAATCAATCGTCCGCATTCCCACTTCCCATAATTTTCACACACGTCACCCTCTTTCTCTCTCACACACTCTGTATTTCTCTCACACACACATACATTACACACAGTACACACCCACGCGGCACACACACATCACACACTTGTCGGCGAACACGCACACTTACCGGCGAAATCTTCAGTCATCCATAGCCGCCGCAGTCGTCATCACGCTGTCATCTCCGCCACGACTCCGCCTCTGATACACCATCGACGCCGCCGCGCCACCGCCGCAACCGAACGTCCTCTGCAAATCGTCGTCGTTCTCTCCGTCGTCGTGGTGCTTTCATCATCTATCCCGATTCATCTCAGCGACCTTCCAATCGCGACAACAGGCAGCCCTCCTCCGCCTCCGTCTAACTCCGGCGACCTCCATTAGCGACCAATCGACCTTCCATCAACCCCGAACAAGAAGTTTCTGGTGTTGTTGATCGAATGATTAGAGTTTCTATCTCCAATTGCGTCAAATTGGGCGGAGATCTGTGCTTGGAGAAGATCCGAACACCTGCCATGGTTAATTGAGTTAGGACTTTTTTTTTTAAAATTAGAAAGGGATAAAGGGTCTAATTGCAATTTATAAATTTTACTTATATTTCAATTATGACATCATGGCAAATCTGTAATATTAAAAGTTAAGATGTTGCTTCTAATTCTATGATGATGTCTGCATAAAAATTTTTGCATTAAATAACAAATAATACAAATATGTCAATTAGTTAGTGTAATTACATTCATACTTATATATAATAAAACTAATTTATGAAAATAATAAATTAAATAATTTCACTTTATATGTCTATATGTTGCACTTTACAACACAACACGTTGCACTTTATCACGACTACCGGATTGTACATTATATATCGAAGCCGGACTCAAATATTTTCAACCGAAAATAATATAAAAATAATAAATATAATTATTAATATATAAAAAATTTTACTTGGGACAAAAATATGAAAATTACATAATTTCACTTTATACCTCCACACGTTTCACTTTATAAACACCATGTTGAAGTTTACAACACAACACGTTGCACTTTATCGCGACTATCGGATTGCACATTATATATCGAAGCCGGACTCGAATCTTTTCGATCGAAAATAATATAATAATAACAAATAAAAATATTACTATGTAAATAACTTGATTTGGGACAAAAATCTAAAAAATACATCATTTAATTTCACTTTATACGTACATACGTTGCACTTTATAAAATACCATGTTGCACTTTACAACACAACACGTTGCACTTTATCACGAATACCGGATTGCGCATTATATATCGAAGCCGAATTCAAATTTTTTTCAACCAAAGATAATATAAAAATAACTTGATTTGGGAAAAATATGAAAATTGTCATTATTACTATTAATAGAATTATTATTATTATTATTATTATTATCATTTTAATTTTTATGTATAGCAGGTGCACATTAGTGTCGCACGAAATGCACATTAACGACTATTATATCGCACAATAACAAAGGACACCTACCGAACTAATTTTTTTAATTCAAAATTTTAAATTTCGGTTTGATTGTACTAATTTACTTTTAAAATCTCGATTATTTCGGTTCCATGCCAATTTTTTTTTTAATGACGCCCAATTTGTAAAAAAAAAAATGTCATTATCATATTTTATTTTATTTTTTTGTATTTTTATGTACATATTATATATTTTTCACTATTAAATAAAATAATATTTAAATATTAATTATATAGTTTGATTAATTACAATTTGACCTATTAACTAAATTGGAATATATCAAAAGTTCTGAAATTTCAATCAAGTCCCTAGAACTTGTCAAATTTACAAAGTTGAGCCCTCCATTAAAAAACTGAAAACCCGACCAGCTCTAGCGCAGAGTCGGCTCCGCCGCCGCCGACCACCATGACCGGAGGTTAGATGCGACGCCGACTGCCGTCATCGCGTCCACCATAAGGTCACCCCATCAACGTCTTTTTTACCTCCGTCGAACCTTCAACCTCCTCTGCGTTCACCGGAGCTCCAGTCACTGACCGTTTTCTTCTGCTTCTAATGTCTCGACGCCGCCGTTCTCGACCTGGATTTCGTCAGCAATCGAATCGACCGGAATGGCAGATCTCTCCGGCGAGCAGATCGACGGCGGCGAGCACGGCATCTGGTGACCGGACTGGGGCATGTCGTCGTCTCGGTGAGTTGTTTATGGTGGCGACGAAGAGCTCGACGGCGGCTGCTGGCGGATATTGGCCATGTGTGTGTCTGTGTGTGAAAAACGTGTGTGTGTGTGTGTGTCTGTGCGTTAACCTTGTGTGTGTGTGAAAACCGAGTATGTGTATTGTGTGGGAAAGAGAGATAGTTGTTATGGTGGGACCCACAAGGTAGAAGGTAGGTGGTTGGTTGAATTTATGAGATGACATAAATGCCCTTAATGATTGGTCAACATTATACATTTGACTATGAAAGATACACTTATTTACGAAATTGCCATTATTATTTGACTACCATATTTAAAATTTGACTTAATCAAAACCATTGATATGTTGGATCCAATGATCCAGGCTCATTCTCATTTCTTGCATTAAGAGTCATTCTCATATGATCCTTTCTCTCTCTCTCTCTCTCTCTCTCTATATATATATATATATATATATATATATACCACAGTTTTGCTATGGAGCCATTAGATGACTCGGTTTATGGAATCATCCACACTTATTCACCAACAGTGTATTGTCACGTGTCCTGCAATAAATATACTTTGGATATGTGTCAATACATTAAGTGATGGATGGCTCCATAAGAAAACCATCTGATGGCTCCATAGAATTTTTGATATATACCATTATATGACATATATATTTACTCGATAAATACATAAATAAGAATATATATTTTTCTTCTATATGTTAACTTGTTCTACACTCATAGTTATTAGTCAAGATATAATAATCAAACCTCGTTAAATCTTATATCTCAAGTGTCAACGGACCAAACATCTCATTCCTTATTGATCGATCTTCCGAGACTCACATGAAAAGTAGGGGGCGGAATCTAGCCAAAGACGACTTGTCGATGCAACTTTTCACGAAACCATGGGCTTTCGCGAAAATTACGACTTTCTGCAAAGATTACCGACAAATCATCCTTGGCTGAAATCCACTCTCTACCTATTCATGGAAGTCCCCTAAGATATATAATATGCATGCAATGCGCTTGTTTTTTTAAGTTTCCTCCAAACTTATGCCTCCTTACTTATCGATCACTCGAGACTCACATGAAAAGTAGAGAGTCGAATCTAGCCAAGGAAGGCTTGCCGATAAGTAATTTTTCATGAAAATCACGTGTTATTGTAAAATTTACGACTTTCTCAAAAGATAACCGGCAAATCATCCTTGGCTGAAATCCACTCTCTACCTATCCATGGAAGTCTCTTAGAGATGTAGCAATTTGCATGCAATGCATGACCTTGTTTTCTTGAGGCCTCCACTTAAATAAGACCCATAAAGTGGTCACATTTGCAAGAGCATATATTCCCATGTTCTAGATAATGCCATGTGGTATATCCTCCTTTTACCAAAAAAATTCTCTTCATAAAATGGCTGAATTTTTTTTACTTGATTTCATAAATTCAAGGTTAAAATGATGTACATCTAAGAAATAATAACAATGATTGCCCAAAAAACAAAAAGGAATAAAAATAAATAAAAGAAATTATAAAAATGGTGAGGAAAAAAGGAAAAAGTGATCACACGAGTATGAAAATTCCAATTTTATTCTTCAACATTTTTTGTACGTGGACGATGCCACGTTGTTCAGCCGGACGGTTGATGAATTTGGCCTACTTGCAATTTAAGTATCACAAATGGGCCTCTCATCATTATTGGAGCATATTCTTAGCAAGATAGGGCTAGAAACTTTTTTTTTTTTTTACTTATTTATTTATTGTTACGCAAATCCGTCGACTCAAACTGTCTCATTGCTTTTGGTGACCTGCAGAAGTTGTGAGGAATCCCGATGGAAAAGGCTCCCAAGCGCAAGTCAGTCCATGTTCAACGATAAAGTAGCAGTATATGAATTTGCAGATACATGTCTGTTATGGAAATAAAAACATGGATGCTCCTTTTAAAGTTAGGATTGAGTGTTGGCTAAGGGACTCCTGTATGGTAATAAGTCATTGCTCTTCTCAACTAACTCTATATCTTTAGTATCCTGATGATATATACTTCCTATATTTAAGGGATTTTGTTCCCGCCAGGTAGGGTTGCAAACGAGTCAAGCGGCTCGCGAGCGCTCGAATCAAAGCTCGACTCCAGCTCGAGTTTGACCGAATTCGAGTCGAGCTCGAGTTCATATTTCGCATTGTCGAGCGGTTCGTCGAGCGGCTTGATATATATTAAATTACTAGAATACCTCTTATATATATTTAAATAGTATAACACAAGTGCTTAATAGTAATTTCACTTAAAAAATTTCAAGTCGAGCTCGAGCATTTGATTTCGAGTCGAGCTCGAGCCTCATAAATCGAGCTCGACGAGCTAGAGCTCGATCTCGAGCAGCTAAAAAAAAAAAATCAATCCTGCTCGATAAGGCCAATGCTCGACTCGGCTCAGCTCGTTTGTAGCCCTACCGCCAGGTACGATTCCAAAGCACTCAGATCAGGAATTCGTCTTGTAGCACTTTCCTATCTAGCGCTAAAACTTCAAGGTCGTCCAGGACGTCATCTGTCCTAAGGGATTAGAGGTCCTCGTTCAACCTAAGGGTCCCAAGGTTGCCATCCGGCCTAAGGCCCCGAGCTCACCATCCGATTTAAGGATACCGAGGTCGCCATCCGACCTAAGGATCTCGAGATTGCCTTCGAGGTCGCCATTAGACCTGGTTATGCTGAGGTCACCGTCAGCCCTAACCGTCTGATGCCGAGCTAACGTCTCCTCTGAGCCCTTTAGGCAAAACAGGATTACTTGAGCTAAAGATGAACAATGCCGACCTGATATTCTCAACGAATTAACTGACCTGTTCTATATGTTCTATCATCTATTCCCCCCCTCCCCCCCTCCCCCCATTATTTGGACGAGCTGATGGGACTTGTCAAAGGACGTGTAGGTAATAGTCAAGGTGGAATCCACGCGTGGACCCGTGCACATGCCCCTTCATTTTTTTCCAGTGCGTCCTAGAAATTCGTACATGTCCTTTCCGCTCTAGTTGCAAGCTTTTCTTTTCCACCGTAGGTCGCTTTTTGAAATGAACGCTCCTGATCGCGCGACTTCGCGTGTTACCATATCATGATCCAAGCCACCAAATCTTACCCTGATCAGATGGCCTGGATTCTTCTTCGTCGGTTCGTCTTCCTTCTTTCTTCTATAAATTCACAACCATTCACCACCGGCCACATTTTTTCTGCTCTCAAATTCTCAGGCTTCTTAGAAAATACTCCCGGCAATCTGTGAACAAACTCTGAAAATACTAGGTTCTTATTCCGGCGAATCGCTGTCGATCATCACACCACCATGTCGAAAAGTTTTATGGGCATGTAATTTTCAATTTGGCCTCATCATTTCCAATTTCATATTTTGCTCTGAATACGGCCACCGTCTGTTCTCCGTTGTCACCTCTGTTGGTAATTTAAACTCTTGACCGTTATGGCAAACTCACGTGACACTCCCAAGCCAAGTGCTTTGTGTTTAGAGGTCGAGCCAAGCCAAGTATGGTGAGTGGGCCCACCAGGTCCAGTGGACCGAAATGCATAGTGCTATCCCAAATTATGAAAATAGTTTAATATTTGTCCTTTTGATTTACTTTTAATCATTATAATAGTATGCATATGTTAATTAATATTTTATAATTTCAAAAATATGTTTGAAATTAAAATTAGTCGAGAATTTTATAAGTTTAAAAATCCATTAAGTTTAGAAATGAGAAAATTGCTCCCTACACCATAAATTTCAGTTTTTAATACACAATTGAACATCAACTCTAAATATTAGCAATCATACCTAAAATCATGTTTTTATTTGTAGATATATCAGAAAACAATGAAATCATGAATTACATATTTTTAAAGAAATCTATCAGTTTCTCTTCCTCAAGTCACGCTTCTATCTCCTTATCTCTCTTCTTCTTCTCTGTCCCCCTCCCTCTCTCTTCTTTTTCATTATATCACCTCCTCATCCCTTTCTATGAACGATCCATTATCCCTCTTCTTTTTTCGTTATCTCTCTCCTCCCTCTCTCTTTTTCTTCTTCTTTTTCTTCTTCTTCTTCTCTCTCCCTCTCTCCACCCACGACTTAGATGAGCGGGGGGCGGCGGAGCGATGGATTGGCAGACCAGCCGGGAGTAAGGCAGCCCATAAGCCCCGACTGGCTACCACCAAATTGAGGAGGCGCGATAGCCCTCCAACGGCCAGAGATAGCAGTTCGTCGGCCAGAGATAGCAGTTCGTCGGCGGAGGTGATTGGATGAGGAGATGCTGAGGCAGTGAGGTCGGCGGAGCAAGCCCGACGAAGATTTTCAGGGGTCAGTGGCTTGACGCGAGCGTCGTTGGTGAAGGTGATGTTGGAGGGGCCGATGGTCCTGGCTCTTACGTCGCCAACGACTGCATCGTTGCTGAAGAAGGTGCAAGATTCGAGCAATTTGCAAGAAGAGTAAGAGTCGAAACTTTAGAATTGGCAGTATATGATGAGTATATAGACAGTATATTTTCAGTTTATAGACATTTTATGTTTTGCATATTAAAAGATTTTATAGATACACCTAAGATTTGTTTCGATATTTATTTGATGTTTATTCATAATTTATTGATCATGATGTTTTTCAATGTTTATCCATACTAATATGAATATTTCATTGTTTAGATATTGATTATAAAAAAAAAAAATTATACACGTATATATTAAGTATATAACAAGATTATGTTATGTATATGTGCATGAATGATATACTTACAGTATATCAGGTTGCAACTCTGCAATTGTTTTCAAGACTGTATATGTAATGTTTATATATTGTATATATTTTTTAAGCCTTAGTTCATCAAAATGGTTTCATTTCAACACACGANCACACAAACACACACTCCCTCTCTCTTCCATCACTCACGCACACACAAAAAAAACACACAATATACACACACAGCTACGCCCGTCGCCACCACACACACCCACCTGCAGCCGCCGTCAGCCGCCACCATCCGCCTCCCACAGCAACGAACCTCGCTGCCCACCGACGAAACTCAGGCAGTCGGCTATTCTCCTCCGACGAGCATCCACAGCCAGAAGTTCAGGCCCACCACCACTACAAAACACTCCACACCGGCGCCACTGTCAGCGACCATGATCATCGTTGCCTTAATATACGGCCGCCGCGCACCCCATCTCTCACACACTAACACACATCTTACAAACACATTTGACGGAACACACAAACCACTGATACACCACCTCCACCTCCGACCACTGCCATCGGCACACCGGCCAGTTCTGTCACCCCCGTAACCAACCACCAGCCGCCCCACCACCAATACCCCCACCACCAACCTCCACCAGCCCAGCCCCGCTGATATGGGATAGTATGTACTTGAAGGAGTAAAAGGAGTAAACCGGTTCACTACGCCGGTCGTACGAGTCTAATATCGGAGATACCACGCTGGTCGAGCAATAATAAGTTGAAGGAAAGGGGTTGAACATTGTGGCAGATCTGGTCGAAGATCGACCTACTAAACAAGAGCTCATCTGATCGACCACCCCGCGAGTGAAGAGCAATCGAGGGCGTGATCTGGACGCGAGGAAGCGCGTGGACTTCTTCAAGAATCCCCTAGGAATATTCAAGGGAATAATTACCCCATGTGAAGAGGACACGTGGCAGGAATATATTGGTGCAGAGTGATAGTGGCAATAACCATCTCTGACACACACACATGGTGTGTGTACGGACAGATAGATCCGGGCAGCGTTGTGCAGGCAACTCATCAAATCCAGGCAGCTCTTAGGGCAGGTATCTCACTCCTATATATATAGGGGTGAGCCTTTCTTGTTACACACGATTTATCCATTTTTACTCTTGAAAATTGAGTGAAACACATATTGACTTAAGCATCGGAGGCTCTTCACAGGAAAACTCCTCTGTTGTGAGAGTTATTTGCAGGTACGCGGCGTTCTACCGGCAAGGAGGAGGAAGACGAGCCTATTTCAAGCCGGTCAGAGTGTTTTGCGTTACCATTTGGCACCGTCTGTGGGACTTTCATTCGAAAAGTGGTGTGCTGAGGTTACTTGAGCTTGGTAGCTATGGCGGACGAAATTCCCAGATTGAATCTGCAATCGTCTTTCAATGAAGCTTGGACGACGACAAGGCCGTTTGGAGAGGGCCCTCTCCCGGGCTTCTCCAGACCCTTGCATACACCGGTGATCCCAACACCTGTTCCTCAAGGTTAGGGACCACACCGGTGCTTCCAGAAGTAGATGTGGGCTCAAGCCGAGCTCAGGAGGCTCACGCTACGTAGGGGTCGGCGATTCCAACGTCGTTACAGCCAGATCTGGCCGGGATTCAGCCGACAGGAGTGGTGGTGCAGGGAGCAGCACCACCACAGACGGAGGAGTAACGCCCTGGTCAGCAGGTGGTGATGACCAGACAAGAGATGCAGTGTAGCGCCCCATTTGTTCCGGATTATTTGGAGATTATTATTGTTATTTATTTTTATTTCCTTAAAATTATCTTATTCGAGCTCGATAATTTTATTTTGATTAAATGCTCATAATTGCTAATTGTATTAAATTAATATCGAGCCGTATTATGTTAGCACTTTTTTTTTTTATTTCCGGTCGAACCAAAAAATCGTTAATAATCGGGACTTTGAACCGAACGAACAACCATGCTGAACCCTCAAACCGAGCCACTGAACCACCTGCTCATTTCTCACGCCCGCGGCCCGCATCCGCAGCTCCCGCAGCCCGCAACCGAGAGGCCCGACCCGGCCCTCGTCGGCACCCATCTCCTCTCTTGCATGCATGGTAAATTAAATTTGAAATTTTGAATTCAAATACCCAATCCCATGTTTTCAGCCCTCATCTTTAATCTCTCCCTTTGACCAAGATTTTTATGTTGCAAAATTCAAGTCATTAAAAAGGGAAATAACCCTTATCTCTCCCCTCATTTCTCATCTCTCTCTCTCTCTCTCGTGAATATCTCCCCTCCCATTTCTCTCTCGTCATTTTTGCCTTCTTTCTGCTCCAACCCTCAAGCTCCCTCTCCCTTCTCTCTTGGCATCGGAAAAAGCTCCTCAGCCGCGCATGAATGCCGGAAGCCGTCGCCCCGCCTCACTCTCCGCTCGCGCAGTCACCGAAGCCACGCCACCCGCGGCCAGCTCCGACCACCGTGTCCGTCTGCAACGTCCGATCACCATCCCCGCTCGCCGATCAGCTTTCCGAGCCATCTCTAGTCGCCCATCCCCACGTGCGAGTCGCCTTCGAACGCCGAACACGCGGACGATTTCCCCACCTTAGGACTCGATCATCAATGAGCCTTCCCGTAGAACCGAGCCTCGTTCGTCTTTCTCCCCATTGGTGTTTAGTAATTTTTGCTAAACTCCATGAACACCATGAGATTATATGTTATATGGCTGGTAGTATATAATATCATGATTAATTTGAATCTTTATTATATATATTGATATTTTATGTAGTGTAGTATTGTGGATCTATAAGGTTAAATTCGAAACCCTTATGATCTGAGACTATCTCGTGGAAATCATTTGGAATATGGAACATCTTTGTGTCCTGATCACAATGGTCTTGACTTTGTTCAATTTGGAGTTATATTTTTCAAGTTATGAATTTTTTAAGTTGATGTAATTGCTGCAAATTGTAAAATACGTGATAAGTTGTATTGTTTCCCACAAACCATGAAATTTGGATATGTTGCTCCCCAGATGTGTTTGTACCTTGTGTAAAATTTTCATAAGTTTTGGAAGTCATTTGCCTAGGTAAATAATTAATTGTTCAAATCTGCTGAATATTGTTAAATCCATGAGAAATCGAATCCTTGATATAAATGCATGAAACTCGGTCATTATGCTTATTTGATATGATATTTGATAGTGTGAAAATACCAGAAATTATTGGATTCATTTTCTTGAGTTTTTGTTAAAAAAAATTTATTTTGCTGAGACTTGGAATAATTGGCATAATTCACATGATTATTTTTTATGCCTGAAAGTTTTATATATTATTTCCAACATGCTTTAGTTACTTGCATAAGAATATTAAGTCTTAATTGATTCATTTGGTCAGTCATTAAATTCACCCTTGTTTTTGCTGAAAACTTGTATTAATTATATAAAACCTCATGTTTAAGTGGTAAAGCTGAAACTTGGTTATTTTGATGTACTCAGCAATGTTTATTATTTGTTAAAATTTCAAATCAAAACTCGTTCATTACCTGGTCATCTAGAAAATGAGGATTACTTGTCAATTTGCTCGATTTATTGGATGAACATGTTAACTCTTGAGTTTGGGCATGATTTTTAATATATGAGGTCCTCCTTACATGTTATATAAGTGGTGTAAATTTTAAGTTATGTGGCTGAGTATTTGGCGAGTCGTCCATTATGTGTACTTTTCCATATTTTGTTCGAGTCGAGTCAACTGTTCCATAATTCCACGAGCCACTTAGTCGACGGATTCGACTAAGTATGTGTGTTCGTTGGACTAGTTGTAATCGAGATTTATCTTGATTTCGTGTGGGTGTCTCGAGGTGTTGACCTCAAATCCTACCGTTCGAATCATATATTCTGAATTTTATCGCTGCAATCAGGTGGGTTCATTTATGTTGAATCTATAATTATCGCACTTGTTATTTCGTATAAATATTTGTCTCGATAGCTTCTGTATGCGTGAGAACCCTAGTCTAAGTGTCCCGTCAATAGTGCCTTTGACGAATGCATAATCAGTGAGAGGTCGCCTGCCCGTTGCATCCGGGAGGGATGCCTCGTGCCGTTGTATCCGGAGGGGGAATAACAGCTCTACTGTCTCCTCGGAAAGGATCCTATTCCCGTTGCATCCGTGGTGGAAATTTTTTCGGTTACATCCTTGCCGATATTTGGTCGGGAGGTTTGTTGTATGTACATAGGAGGTTTGCGATAGAGCCTAATAGGGAGTTACATCTGGATTCTATGCATACATTATTTATAGTTATGAATCTTTATGCGAGATATAACGTGCGGTAATGATGAGTATGATGGTGATACTCACCCCCATTGTTTTTCTGTTATATAGTTTCTCTTCCTATTTTTAGGTTGAGCATAGTTGGCGGCAGCAACGAGAGACGATCGATAGGTGGTCTTTTAATTGATGTGTCCTTTGCTTCCGCTTTAATTATCTATGTTGGATTGCTTGATTTACTTTGGATTATTATTCTTTCGTTTTAAATTACTTCGAACATGTTGATTGGACCATTGGCATCATGTTGAACTACTTGTTTTATTTTTATTTATTTATGCTTCCATTTTGAACATCATGATTATGTTGGAATAGTTTTGAGACTTATGAATAATTCGGTGTTATTTGTAGAACTGTTAGTCTATGCATGTGTAAGTCCTTCATATCGGTTTGAAATTGTTTACTTGGTGCCGGTAGTTAAGTAGTGTCCGTTA